AATTATTTAAATGTCTAGGGGGATATTTTGAGAGTCAGAGTTTGAGTCGTGAAGCTATTGAGGGTTTTGTGTTGAATTATTGCGGAGATGTGGATTCTTGGGATGGGAACCTATGAAGCTCTCTGGATTCGGGGCCACATAAGGATGCCTTGAGTTACTAGGGAGCTACTTATCTATCTTTGTGAGTTTTCGGTGAAGTCGTACCTTAGCAATGGATATAAATTCTGGAAAACGCAGTAAGTCCCTGTGTTGGTAAGTGGTTTGTTGTTCTTTAATTGAAAACTCCCCAATACTTTGCAAATTACTATCAATATTTAGAAGAAAGGTGTAGTTTATTGAAATTATATAGGAGTGAGAAGAATGGAATTCGTAAGATGGGTATTACACGCCGACTCCAATGACCAGCATCAGAGTGTATGAGCTCAGAAATAATCCTCCTCTTTTTGTATCTGAGTGGAGATCTCCCCCTTAATCCTCGCGGCCCTTGTATCTAGGGAAGTCGATTTTACCTAGATTTTACCAAGTACTCGTACCAACCCTGATTGACATTCAATAAAGTTCTCTTGTTCTTCTTCCACTATAATTGCACCAGTCACACTAAGAAGACTCGTTAGCCAGGGAAGACTTGAAATTGGAATCCCGGACTTACAGCAACATCCGAGGATCCGTCGTTGTCCTCGACGCAGTACTCGTTCCTACAAAATTTGCATCTACGGATGTAAATCTCCTTGCATTCGGCACACTGATCAAGAAAGATTAGTATTAGAAAACCAAAACTTGTTCAGAAAGACGTACAGTGTGTCCACAGCCGAAGCAATCACGTTGGGAGCCAACCTGGAAGAAAATGTTAGTAAATTCTTCCATGAACTAAGTTTCGATGAGAGCGTTCGATTGCTAATCCAGCGCAGTTGCGCATACCTTAGCGCGCCGGGACATTATGTCGAGGTGCGGTTTACTTATAGTCGGCTCTTCAGCCGGCCAACGGGCCGTATCAGGTCCAACTACTTCGTAAATGCTCCTTCAGTAGTATGGGTGCTGATTTCCTAGAATTCTAAGATTGATCAACCCCACATACCACTGCTCCCGGCTCCAGCTATCATTTCGCCAACCAGACAATTTTCTATGCAGAGACCCATATGTACCTTGACTTCAACAAGCTTATGCTCGTCACTTTCATGCTGGTGTATTCCCATCGAGTTCATGAGCTCGCTTATGTATTCCAGTTGTTGCATGTGTGTCCGAGTTCCATTGAGTGACCCATAGAAACATGATTCGTCCCACCACTTATTACAACGCTCACACCATCGTCCACGGAGACATCCTTCGCATCGAACAATCAATGGGGGAGGTGCTGATCCATCAATTGTCGAAGGGCCTTGAGCAACACGGATTAAAGTAGAATGCAGAGGTGGTGGAGCTAGAAGTGGTAAGTGATGCGATGGAGATTCTCCAAAGACACCGGCACCCTCGGGGCAGGAATGACAAGTTGTACATCCACTAGGTCCAAGAGCGACTGTTGCAATAGCTGGGGGAAGATATGAGAGAGGGTGTACGCGTCGTGGATCTACAACGCTCTGGTGAACAGCCGTATCCGCATTGTGCCGTGGTCCTCGACATATAACAGCATCAAAATGGATGATGCCCTCGCAGGCTTGTAACGTCTCAGCCCATTCAGGGATTGGAGGCCGTGGTAGAATGCGGCCGGAAGCTTTGTACCACTTATCATTTGTCCTAGCAAGAACCGTTGTAAGTGTATCGATAGAGCGCTGGTTCCACTCGGCACCGATCTGAGCACCCTGGGATGAAGTAATTCCAACAGGAGACCGGTTTCTCACCGGGGATCGCGTGTATCTCTGTGCACTATCCGTCTCTTGCGCGTCCTTATCTCTCGGTGTGAAAAAGTATAGGCCCCTCAATCGCGGCGTATTCTTGGGCCTTGATGGACGAACAGCGTATTTGAGAACTTGCATCAACTTCCTCTCATTGAGATTCTTTGCTTCGCGTATTGATAGTATTCTGACATTGAACCTGTCTTCACAGATGATCTCCCTGACGATTTCAGCAGTCACGCTGAGACCATCTAACACCAATGTATTAACATTGACAAGGAGGTTTCGTCTCCCCAGGTTCGAGAATATTCCGCGCAAAGGACCCGTGTAAAAGTCATCTTCAGTAAGGGATTCATCCATCCGCTCAGCTCGCCAGTTGATACCGCCGGAATCTAATGGCTTTACATCTGGTGTGATTGCAGATTTGACGGGGGAGAGATCGAGATGGCGAATAGGTTCTGGGGACTGGAGGACCAGATTCTGGAATGACCTGCATGTTGCGCCGAGGGCGAACAGAGATGAGACGGATAGATAAGGCGCGGTCTGATGGAGGACCAGAGAATTGGAGAATAGATCTAGGAGGGTGATAGATATAGCTCCGTCTGGTGATGATCTTGCCATGTCTACCCTTACGGGTGATTTTTATTTGGATTTTGATGGGATGAGAAGGGAATGTTATACAGGATATTAAATGAGATATAAGAGCTAAGAGGAACTAATGAGACACGTATTATACAGAGGCGCCTAGAAAAAGCAAAGAAATCATATAGTTATGTTTAATAAGTCGAAGTCTCGATGCATGAGAATGGGTTGCATGACTGCAGCTGCATTGACTGCATTGGAGCTTCCCAGCGAAACTTCCGGGGTTTAGAGAAGTTGGGGACTTGGATCAAAGTTGGAGCTAGGATGAGACCCTTATTCGAAAGCTTAGCTTACCTTACCAGATCAGGAATGCTTGTACCAGTAATGTATTATACTGAGCTGTAGGATAAACGGCGGGGAAAATTGTACGGACACCTCGATACGTCCGCTTAAATCCAACACACCGCGACACCCGCTTCCTTTTGCTCACTGTAACAGGGCGCGGACATATCTTCATCAGGACTGTCAGCTTCAATAATCGCCTATTCGTTCATCTGGGCTTGGGAGGGCTTGTATAACGCGCGGCTTGGCTAAAGACTTTGGTGAAGCTTGTCAAGAAAGAGTCCAGATCAGTGCCCAACATGAAAAGGAATATTTCCTACAGCAGCCACAGCTCTATCAGGCAGGAAATTCGCAGCAGTATTGTTGTACTTGGGGACAAGATAAGGGATTTGTGACTGGCTTTACCACCCCATTTTCTCAAGCTCCAATAAGTCCATATCTGATGGTCTGTGGCTATGTCCGTTGCTTCCGTCATTCCCTTCATCACGGCTAACAACCTATACAAGTAGAGGCTAAATGGAAATCATTCAGATGAAAGTCTCGAGAAATATTCTACAAAAAATAAACCTAAAAATAAAGAAAGTAGAGAAGGCATAGGGAAAGAGTAGAGTGACAAAAAGGGGAAGTCTCCTAAAGTAGTAGGAAAAATAAGGACAGAGGGAGAAGATGTTAATTAGTAAAGTATAATGATCTTGTATTGCTTATCTATTCGAGTGACCAGCCCTCGATGGCACCCTTCTATTCCATAAGTTGGAGAAAGGATGCATGATACCTCCCGTCGATATGTAAGGTACAGTGAAAATAATGTCGCCAAGACTGGTAATAATTAAAGGGATTCCGAAGCACTAGGAGGGAGTGCTACTAACGTAAATTTTCAAATTCAGAACTCCTGTCAATAATTGAAGATTGGATCCATGAATGACAGCATGATGTTATGGAAGGTCTGATGTGGATATCGAATGAAATTCCGTGAGAGAGTTAGTTTCTAGTTTTGCATGTTAAAGAACAGAGAGAGTATTGGAGACCTAAAGACAGGGGTCCTTTGTAAGTCAGACCGTTGTGGTTATTCTGGATCCATTGTTGGGACTTTCGGGCTGGTTTCTTCTGGACAGTGACTGCATTATCTGTTCCATTCGGAGGTATCCAGACCTTGTACAGTGCAAAATTTTGGATCGTGCGTGGAAGTAGCGAAACTTATGTGAATTGCGATGTTCAATTCCATGCTGAAATTTGAATGGTACCCGGGGTTTGGAGCAACCTCTGAAAGAGTACTCCAGTCCTACCTCGTTCCCTTTCAAAAATCAGTCAATAGGGCAAGTTGCTGATAGAGCCCTACTTTCTTATAAAAACTTGTAAACCTAGAATTGGAGCATCCTGATAACCTTTCTCCAGTATCAAGAATTCTGGTGCCTATTGATATTGTCCAAATTGCAGATTCGGTTCTTCTCCTAAACTATACAATACAGTATAGGTACCGTCAATATCAAGATGACTCGTAGTTCCCTAAAAGACTGCTCCTTGGATGCGCCGAGTATTATGTCTCTAGGTGCTAAAATCGATACCGTCCTCGCCTCTTATTGCAATAGGTTTTGAAGGATCTCCGCGGATTAGACAGTGCGCAAAAACAGAATCCGAGGAGAAAGTTAACATACATCAAAAGAAAGAAGTAATAGAAGCAATATGGAAGAAACAAAACGTCATATAACAGTAAATAGCGGCCAAAAAGCGGAATAAGAAGCAAAGGCAGAAAGAGGAATAGAAGTGGAAGGGAAAATAGGGGAATACGAGACATAATAATGAACTAGAAGCAAAGAATATATAAGAGAGAGCTCCGCAAGTCCGAGTAGTGAAGCTTAAAGGAAAGGAGACTGAGATAAAATAGAGATGCTTATATCGAGTATATGAGAAATTAAGAATAATGATATTTCATTTCAGTAACTCTGATGGCTTTTTTGGTTTCAAGTTTGTATTATCCAAATATCCAATTCTAGGTAGGGCTATAGCGATTCCTATGAGGTGTCGATATCGAGTCTAACGATATGAAATACTGAGTTGAGAGATCTATCAAATGATATTTGCAAAAGATCAAAATTATAGAGCTCAGGAGCAATTCGAGGGTAAAACTTCGGCTCCCCAGCATAACCAATCAGATCCTTTCATTTGAGCGATTTAGCATCCTAATGGGCGGCAAAAGATGAATCCCAAACGCAAAAAGATATCCACCAAAGCTGCAAGAGCAAAAGAAGAAGCCGAAGGCGAGGCTCGAACTCGCGACCTTGAGGTAACCTTAGCAAGAGGGCTAAGAGCCACACGCTCTACCGATTGAGCTACCCCGGCTAATTTATGATGCTATAGAATAAAGAAAACTCATAAATATAATTGTTTAGCTCCCCAAACAATTCTTGGCTCGTTTTCCGCACTCCGATTGGACCATCGGTCTTTGCCGCATCCCAATAATTATAACTACCTACCTACCTACATCTCCCCAACTCTACATAACCACAACAATGCGCCTCCTCAACCTCATAACCCTCGCTGTCTCCATCCTCCCCACCTCCGCCTCCCCGACTGACCAAACCGTCACCATCTCCTCATGGCCCCTTAACCTCCCCTCACCCGCCCCCCTCGCACAAATCAGCTACAACGCCGTCACCGGCACTGCAAACCTAACCTCCTACACCGCACCCTCGCTCCCCACTTCCGCACACCTCGTGCGGGTCGGTCTTCGGGACCCGACGACAAATCAATGGTCCGGCGTCGTTACGTCGGCGAAGAGCTTTGGGGTCGAGTGGAAGAAGAGGGTGGCGCTTCATACGGATCTGGAGGGCGCGGTGTACGCTGTGGGGTTCACTACGGCTGGGCGAAGGGACGGGAAAGGGAGAAGTGAAGAGGTGGAGGTTGTGGTTGTGCCGATGCAGAGGGGTGCGCAGCCGGTGCTTAATAAGCCTGTGGTGTTGAATGCGGAGGGGAAGATTGAGGGGAAGGAGCCTGAGAAGACGTTTTTGCAGAAGTGAGTTCAGTGTTTTTCTTTTTTCAGAGGGGAAATAGGGGTGCTGATGTGGTGGTGTGGTTAGTTACTCATTTGCTGACTTGTGTTATAGGTATTGGTGGGCTATTGCGCTGTTTTTGTTGGTGCAGATTGCTGCTCCTGGTGGAAAGGAATAAGCAGCAAAGTCATTGAGAGGGATAATTTCCTCTATCCACGTTCTCAGGCGCGTCGTGGTGGATGTAGGCGGTATTCATGATATTGAGGACTTGAGGCATTGGGATGGCAACGTCACATGGATAAAGAGTGGACGTCAGGATGAATTTCTGTTTAAGGCTCGAATAGTAAGCAACCCTAGGTTAATGTTGCGAACGCGTGGTTGTCAATGGGATCAGGAAGCTTTAAATACGGTCAAAAACTCCGTGAGATCCGAGAAAGTCAGGAAACTAAGAGACAATCCTAAAGCCAATACCCTTTGAGGGCGGATTATCAAATGCATATTCGTCCAAAACTGTGACCCGCACCGCGATGTCAAGAAAAATCCGCAGAACCGAAACAAAATGCCACGCCGATCCTTCTATAATACATCCCAGACCTGATTAGACCCATACCCAATGCGCCAGATATGCTCCGTAGACGCTGCAGATAATATAATGCAATACCTAAGTATGCCTTCTTCCTCTCAACAGCACTTCCCTCCCCTACTCTGCATTATCTGATCTAGATCACCGTCATACCCTTCAGTTCCCGTAGTACTCAACCCACCAGGCGTCGGGAACCCCAACCAGCTTCGTCTCTTATCCCCCAGGCCTACCCTGAAGCTTCCATTACCGTCTCCCTTCCTATAGTCGAAGTATCCCCCGTTCTGTCCAGCGCTGCCAGACGCGCCCGGTGTCCCTGCCAATGCGTTCAACTGCTCTTCCGCTTCTAAGCGTTTATTCCGTTGTTCGACCAGTTTACGGGTAATCACTCGAAATACCTCTTCTACGCCCTCTCCGTCTTTGGCGGATATTTCGTGGCAGCAATCCCATCCGATGTCCTGACCCCAGAACCCACTACTTCTATTACTCTGTGGAGACGCCATGCCCGTTTGTGTGGTACTGCTCGGGCCTAAGGTTGCTCCCCATGAAGTTGGGGGAGAGACTTGGGACTGCGCCGATTGTTGTTGAGGTGGGTAGAGGTGTTCTGCGACGTAGGCTATGCAGCGTTCAAAAGGGATCTTTCGTTTTGAAGGGTCTTCAGCTACGATATCGGATTTGGTGCCTACGATGTGTAGTATAATATCGTCGCCCAGGTTTTCCTTGAGCTCATGGAGCCAGCGACCCATTTCTTCGAACGAGTGAGGGTCAGTAATATCATAGCAAAGGACTCCTGCATTTGCGCCTGAGAGAGTGTATAGTTAGTTTATGCTTTAAGATGTTGCATATGTAGGTGGAGCGGGGCGTACCTCTGTAGTAGAGTTTAGAGATACTCCTGAACCTTTCCTGACCCGCCGTATCCCATATCTGCAACCTAACCACGGACGAGGTATCAATATCCACTACGCGTTTCGTGAGGAACGATGCGCCGACCGTCGAAGTGGTCGTAGGTGGTGTGAACTGATTCTTGACATAGCGGTGTACCAAGCTCGTCTTGCCCACGCCTTGCGAACCGAGTACAACTATTTTGGCCTCGAGGCTGTTTGTCATGGTCGGTTGGTAAAAAAAGAGAGAAAGAGGCCAGCGGCGGAGGGTAGCTCGCGAAAGGCGGAGAAGACGTCACCCAAGAGGGAGTGGAAGTTTCCGCGATCTGCGCGGCTGAAGGAGATGTTTTGGGCCGTCCACCGCGTTTCTGGAGGAATGAGCTCACACCCGGAAAGGACAGCAATCACACCATCGGATAGAGACGAAGAGGGAGGAGAACTGAAGGCGTGACGGTGACTCTTGGTCTGGGACTAAAAGCATTTTGTTTTTCTTTGAGGGGTGCGTAGTGAGTATTGTGATTGTTTGGTACCTAGTGGTAGGATTGCACTTGAATTTAGATTCTTAGACCCATGTCGGACGTGTCACAGACTCACAGTCCAGCTTACCGAATCACATGTGGGTATCTATCTCACTTCATATACTGACTGGTTGGACAGTACCCGCTGTTAGAATGAGATTGTCTTAGATATATAATAAGAATATGACGACTATCGAGTACATGGTTGGCCGGAATGGCGGGGAATACGTGGAAAGACTCAAATTTGATCATCAGTTAAACTGACTCTGATATTGACCTGTCACGCTCTTATACCCCAATGAGGTACATTATTAGGTCTAAGTCATGATACAATAATAATGTGACGGAATCTATAGCATATTTCAAGATAATTCGTGTCAATTTGACAGAAGAATAGCTCAATTGATTGTACTTTGTAATCAACTCAATGCATCACCACTACTAGGTTCACCTCTAACATGGTCAAGGGGTTATTCTATCTATTCGAAATGCATCAGTACATTATCACATATCTCATACATTCATACAACCTCCGTCCTCTGAGGTGCCCAGTTCTTCAACCATTCCCTCGCCTTATCCAAATCTCCACCCTCTGCTTCCAGCGCGGCGACACACCACTCCTCCGCATATCCACCTTTGCCCGTGAGGCCATTTTCGGCCGCTAATAAAGCCGCCACCCCCCTCCGCCGCTGACTTGCCTCGTCCGCACAAAAATGTAGCGGCATGTTCCTCTCTCCAGTGTATAAGCCGTCGAGGAAAGGCTTTACCATCGGCAGAGCATCCTTCGTCGCTAAAGATCCTTCTATACCCCTGTTCTTCCGCCCAGTTTTGCAGAACTCGTTTTTACACCAGTTCTTGCTACAGCCGGTTAATAGCTGTGAGAGATACCGGCGCTCCACCCTCCTCCGTAAGGCTTTGCCGTCCGGGTCGTAGAGGCTTACGTATAGCGGTCCGTAGCAGACGCTACAGAGACCGATATCATTACCAGGGCCTTGGCCCATACGGGTTCCGGCTCTTGTATCACCGCCTTTGCTAACTCCGTCTAAAGTGCGGCCACAATTGACGTTCCGGCACAGGCGTGGGGTAGGACGCGAGAGACGTTCGAACTCATGGTTCTTGAGATGCGTTGACATGTCCCGAAGACGTACTATCTTATCACAGAGATGACACTCTGTAGTTCTACCGCCATCAATGAGCTCGTGATGAGTCAGGTTTGATAGTAGCGCTTCGGGAGACGGATCTAGTGGATCACCTTCTTGAGGTACAACAAGATGGCAGAATTGGCACAGAATTAACTTGCCAGGACAAGTTGTGGTACGATGATGGGCCAGTTTGATCATGGAGGGAAATTGCAAACTGCAGTTTGGACACGATTGGGGAGTGTGGTACATTTCATCGTGTTTCTTGCGGCTCGCAGGGCTGTCCCCGCGGAAGCCGTCATTGTGCGAGCAATGCCAGTGGCTTTCAAAAGCAGGAGATCGCTTTTGGAACAAAGTACCGCATCCTTGAGGGCAAAGAACATTATTACGGTAGCAAAAGTTTTCATGAAGGAAAAGCGTCCGTTGGGGAATCCACTGGCGGCAATTCTTACATCGTACTTCGTCAGGGTTCGGAGGAGTGTCTGAAAGATCTTGGGATGTGATAGTCTCCTTAGGATCATAGACGGAAGCCCTTATGGTAAACGGATTTGGTCGACCTTGAGAGCTTTCAGAAGAAGCTGGGTATGATCGAACAGACACCCAGACAGCTTCAGCGTCCTCCAATTCTACATTCGTTGGTTGAAGCCGTATTCGTTTGGTTTTCCTACTCGCAAAGTCACCGAAAACGAACTCATCTTCCCTCGGTCGAGCTTGCTGTCTAGATGAATAAGGACTGACGAGTAAGTCAAGCTCAGCTTCCCCATCAACTGTGTTAAGCTCGACTTCGAGCCCTTGGGATCTGTTCCATGATGGGATCTCATAGTCGACGTACTCGCCATCTAGAACTTGGCCTTCCTTCGCATTGAATATGTCCAGAGCACCCCCGACAGAACTACCCTGTTGGGTTTCAGGAGCCTTATGCGCCTTTGCTGCAATCTTTCTTAGCGTCTCTCGAGCTTGCTCGTCGTTCAAGGCCTCTATGTCAACTTCCAAATCAGTATCAACTACACAGATTCCATCGCCCTCAGGCCTGAATCCGTCTACCAGAAATCTAAACTCTTCTCTCTGACCGCCAACCCCTCGACCACCAGGAACGACCATAACTTCTCCATTAGTTAGCGTCGTAAAGTTTGATCGTAAATGCTGCTCTAGAAGGGATTTCCAGTCCTCCGGGTCGTAGCCCGCTTCTAAAGGGCGTAACTTAACGTATGTGCCTTTGGGTAGCTGTTTTG